CAACCTTCCTTCCAAGGAGTGGCTGGTGGGTTTGAACCGCCAGCCGTCTGGTTAGCAGGCAAGTGTCTTAGCCACTATGCTACCAGAGCTCCTCCTAGAGCCTTATATAGGGAGGACAAAAGGAACTTGCACCAGGCCTCTCCAGACCCCTTTCTGTGAGGTGTATATCCTACTATAATGCCCTTACTACACTGTGCATCCTTTTTCTTAATAAACTATGGATTTGTCAACAGTATCATTTTGGATTTTGTGAGTCTTTAGCAATCCAATCCTGTTTATCTGCTACCAGTATGCATACTCATGCAAAAGTTAACGCATTTGAATCATCTTAATAGCCTTTAAAATTTTTACACTTCCCTCAATATATAAATCAGAAGTTTATTTTAAAATTGTTATACTTCATCTAGACATTCTATATTTACTTATTAACCACTCAAATAAATAATATGAAGCTGATTAAAAATAGATTCTGTCATTTCTGGTCAAATGGACCTTTGTTCTTCATACCAGTAAACATTTTTTTTTTTTTTAAAGCATTTCAAAAGAGATTTCCTGATACTAAGAATGTGTCTATTTTCATCAGGCACATTTATCATATTGCACAACCTTTAATGAGCATCAAATAAATGTTACCTTCCTTTCTTCCTCAAAAGAAAAAATTATATAAACAATAAATGTCACAATTTTGACATTATTATTTTGCTATTATACTTAGGTTTCATCCAAGGGTTTATGAAGAACAAATACCCTATTTCAGATTTATATGGTTTGTAAAATGATTTTTTTTTTTAAAGTAATATTTACAATAAAACATTCATTTTATTTTACCTTTGTAGGTAGAAACGTAACAACATGTCCCATCCACTTTTTCTGTTGGAATTGCACTATATATATCCGCATCTAATGCCTTGTGATTTATAGTTTCAGTTGCCAAAACTTTAAATGGCTTAAAAGAAAGAAAGAAAACTGGTTTAAGACAGACAGCCTCTATGCCTTTGCACATACTCTCACTTGGAATCTTTTCAATTTTATTAGTTCTAAGGGATGATCTCTTCTTCATCCAATTAAAAGTTTGAAAAACTGCTTGTGAGGTTCTCCTGAACCTCTCTCCCTTCTATGCTATTCTAGCAATACTTGTTTTTCCACACAGCTCTGTAATTATTTATATGCTTGTACTTTAAGAGTATACCACTTGTCTGTCAGTTTGTCACACTGTGATGACTTGAGAGTTGCTGTGATGCTGGAAGCATTGCAACCAGTATTTCAAATACCAGCAGGGTCACGTCATTGACAACCTGTGATATGCAGATAATACAACCTTGCTTGCAGAAAGTGAAGAAGACTTATAGCACTTACTGATAAGAGATCAAAGAGTACAGCCTTCAGTATGGATTATACTTCAACATAAAGAAAACAAAAATCTTCACAAATGGACAAATGAGCAACATTTGATAAACAGAATGAAGTTGTCAAGTACTTAATTTTACTAACCCATTTTTCTTGGCACTCACTTGGATCCACAATCAAAGCAGTAGTCAAGAAATTAAAGGACATACTGCATTAGACAAATGTGCTGCAAAAGCACTTTTTAAAGGGATAGGAGCAAAGATTCACTTTGAAAACATGGTATTTCACTTGTCTCATATGCATGTGAAAGCTGAACAATGAATAAGAAGGACCAAAGAATTACTGATGGATTTGAATTGCGGTGTTGGCAAGGAATACTGAATGTATTCGTTGAAGAACAGAAGACCTACTGGTAGAAGAATGAACAAATCTGTCTTGGAAAAAGTACAGACAAAAATGCTCTCTAGAAGCGAAGATGGCAAGACTTTGATTCCTGTAATTTGGACATATTATGTGATAAGTAGGGAACAGTCCCTGGAGAAGATCATTATGCATGGTAAAGCAGAGGGTCAATGAAAAAGGGGAAGACCCTCAATGAGATAGACTTACACAGTGGCTACAACAATGGGCTCAAGCACAGTACCAACTGTAAGGACTGCACAGGACTGGGCAGTGTTTTGTTCTGCTGTACACAGGCTCACTATGAGTTGGAACCCACACAACAGCACCTAAGAACAATGTAGGAGTACAAGAGTTCTCCAAAATTAGCTTGATACCAGGTGCCATGCCCTAAGCATCTCTTGCACACAACACGGCATTCAGTAAGTGTTCAATATGTTGAACCATTTGCTTGACAATTATTTAGAAAATGTCTGTTATGGGTAAAGTGGGAACTCTGGTAGCATAGTGCCTAAGGCATCTGACTACTAACCAGAAGGCTGGTGGGTTTGAACCACTCCTCGGAAGGAAGATGGGGCAATCTACTTCCGTAGTGATACTGCCTCAGAAACCCAAGGAGGGTTCGCTATGAGTCGGGTCTGACTGAACGGCACATAACAACAACAACATGGGTAAAGCATTGTTCTTGGCACAGGGAATATAGAGGTGACTGAGAAGGGTGTATTTTAGTGAGGAAGATAACAACTAAAGGCAAAATATGATGTGAGTGCCAAGAAAAATGGGTTAGAGAAAAAAAAAGAAGGGTGGTATATGTTTTCGAGGAGCTCCGAAAGCATAGTGCTTAAGGCACCTGACTGCTAACCAGAAGGCTGATGGTTCAACCCACCAGCCCCTCCTCGGAAGGAAGGCTGGGCAATCTACTTCCATAGTGATACTGCCTCGGAAACCCAAGGAGGGGTTGCTATGAGTCAGGTCCGACTCCACGGTACATAACAACAACAACATATGTTTTAGAGAGGGGACACAGAGGTACCCTCTTTGAGGAGGCAACATCTGAGCAGATTTAAAATAAAGGAATGAACCATGTAAATATCTCAATAAAAGAGGCCCCTTGATAATTCAAGAGAGTGGGGGTAAACTTGAAAAATTAGACCCATTCTAGTACTAACTTAATACTTTGAAGATAAAAATTGTATGGGGAATTTATCACTAATTTATGACCTGAGTATCAATTACTCTTTGCTAGCTGGGCCAGGTGCCAGATGTTTTACCAAACATCCCAGGCAGATTACTTTGCCCATGAAGCGCTTAATCAGCACAAATACTCTTTCCACAAGAATCAATTCTCTACCACTCTTTTCTTGCTTGTGACATGCTCAAAGGGCCGCATAATGCATTTGGGGTACACACAGTTCTCTACTTGTTATCAAAAAGTTTAAACTATAAGTGGAAAACAAGGTATATGTGTATAAAAATATGTAGTAAATATCACTTGGGTGGTCCTCTAAAATTTTTGGTTAAGGGAGATAACCAACATGGCTGAGTTGATCAAAGACTGCATGAAGAAGGTAGCACTCAAAATATTAAAAATACAGATAATCCAGTGACCTGCCTGAGCAAAAGTACAGACACAGGACAATGCCTGGTATGTATGTTCACAGGACAGAACAGACTTTGCTAGAATGAAGACTTCACTTTAAGTAATAAAATTAGGTAGTGGACTGGGCCTGATTAATGGCAGGCCTTGAAACACAGTTAAGAAAATGGATGTTATACTACAAACTATAACTTATTCTTAGCTTTGGAGGTATAAGGGCTACTTTTTCCTGGTTGAGAGTACTTTACAGATTGCACCACTCACCCTCAGCACACAAAGTTGGGAATCACAGCTAGAGTAAATCACTATAACCAGATGAGATTGTGTTGTATGGATTACGTTTGTTAGGGCTTTTTTTTTTATTTTTTCCAAAAGGAAAAAAAAATGCTTTGGACAATGACGAGTAATTGTGGGATTCTGACTAGGGAATAACGTGGGATGATCTTTCTTTGTGGCAAGCATAAGGCTAGTTAGGTAATAACAGTGATGATAGTAGAAAAGATGAAAAGGGCACATGTTACAAAATAAACATGATAACTTGAGGAAGTAAAAACAGGCATGAAATACCTGAGGTTCTTGCTTTAATTTAACAAGTATTTACCCAATGCCTACCGTGTATCAGGTCCACAAGCTGGGAATAAGGAGGTAACAGGAGGTTAATGGTCTTTTAGTTAGGAAGACACAGAGAAAGCCAGTGTCACTGATGGATTGGGGGTGGGGACATAATCATTTTGTATAATCAGCTGGAAGTATCCAATTGATCCAGGGATTCTGGTCCTTACTATATCATATCTTAATATTAAAAAATTATCCTGATTCGTGCTACTGTTCTTTAGATAGCATTTACTGACGCCCTACTGTGTAAAACACAGTGCTACGGCGAAAATCTTGAAACTGGAACACCAAAATTAGAATCAAGTGGGTAATTACTGGTAACAATATACACGGGGTCTAATCTTTAGCGGCACCCTAATTAAGCCATAGGAGCTCTGAAGGTATGCATTTCACCGCTACCAAAAGGTCGGTGGTTCAAACGAGCTAGCAGCTGCGTGGAAGAAAAATGATGCAGTCTGCTTGGCTAAAGATGTACAGCCTTGGAAACCCTTTGGGACAGTTCTCCTCTGCCTACAGAGCCAGAATCAACTGTAGGGCAGTGGGTTTAGTTTGGTTTGGTTTTCTTCGGCCATCGAGTCCCCGGTTAGAACGGGTAAAGGAAATGTTCTAACATCTCCAATTTGTGACCACCCTCTTAAAAAACTAGTAAATGTCGGACTGCAGGAATTCTATCTGAATACTTACGGAGTTTCCCAAAACGTGCTAACCTGAAAACACTCGGGAAAGGAACACTATTTAGTATGTGGGTTTTCAATTTCCATAAGAGATCAAGTTTGAATCGCCTGATCAAAAACATACCTTGGCACCTACCCTTCCTTATAAAGAAAAAGGCAGAAGAACCCAACTCAAAATGTGGGGACACGTTTTCAGTTCTCCACAGAGAAACACCCCCGGCCTATATGCAGATCAGCTCCAACGCGCCGGGCAAGCGGTTTTGGTGCAGCAGCCAAGCGTCCTCGCTGGGTTCAAAAGGAGCCAGCGCCACAGGGAGCAGCCCACGCGCGGCCAACCCGCCCAGCCCAGCGCTCCTCAGTACCTGATGTTCCCTTTTGGCGGAGGGCTCCTCTTTTACCTCCGTCACAAACACACACGGCATTTTCCGCTGCACTGAGCCAAGGCGCCTCATGGTGGGCCCGAAAGGCACTGCGACTAAAGAGCCTCTTTCCCAGCCGGCCGAAACACCTCAGCAGCGAGCCTCGCTACCCGGAGTACGTAAGATCCGTGCCGGGGGCGGTGTCTGTTCCTCCCGTTGCCCAACCCGAACCGAGAGGCGGGGAGGTGCACCCGGAAGCGGCCACTAGGCCGCGGAGCCTTCTGGGAGTTGAAGTGCTGGGAGGGGATCGAGGCGCCCCGGCGGCACGCCCACGTGCGTTGCTGATAGTTCTGATAACCAAGGAAAAACAGAAATCCGTTTCCAGGGATTGTGTACTTCGCCACCCGTAGTAACCGACGATGTTTTTGAAAATTAAATAATGTCAAGTTGTAAGTGATAAATTATTTCAGATGGTGATTTAACGCCATTCTGAGGAAACCTACTTTTCTGTTCTTTTTTTAATGACTTGCTGGGGGACTGTTATAGGAGTTTAGAAATATTCCCAAAAGAAAGAAAGAAATTCGCTGGGAGGAATGAAATCGCGCCATGTAAAACACGTGTGACCAAAAACATAAGTTTTAAAAGTTTCCGTTTGGAGTACTCATTATGCAGCGTAACAGTATGGAGATCAGTTCTGATAGTCTTTGCCGAGTGTGCACAAGGATTAGTTAGCCTTAGACTAATTCAGAACCAAACCAATACCAATAACCAGATTTCAACCCCAATCTTTTAATAAGGATCCCATTTATCTTAAATGTGAGCTCCAACAGAGTCCAACTGGCAGGAGTTATACTCAGTTAACTACACAGCTCAACAAGGGCTTTATTTAGTTGCATTGCTCAAGGAATATTGGAGGGTAATTGATAAATGACTACATAAAATGAATATTTAATAAAAGTGGGCTTTCTATATCATTGCATCTTATAGTCCTCAGCCTAAAGTTGTAAGGTAGATTTGATTTTATTTTCATGCTTAATGTACTTGGACTAAGGCCTGAGTCTTATTTCTCTCATTTTCTTATTTGCAATTCTCCAGCTGTGCAGCATTTTACTGAATTAGCCCTTGGAAAAACTCAAAAAATATATCTCACCTGGAGGTAGCTAATAATAAGAAAGTTTCTAAAGAATAAAATAACTCCTAAATAAGTTTATTGTTCTTTGCTGTATTCAGTGGGGAAGAAGGGAGGAAGAGATTTGCCATTTCAAAGTGTTTACTTTTATCTTTAATTTTCCCACAGGAAAACAAAACAAATCAAAAAAGCCAAAATAATAAAAGTAAATAAAACACCTGATGCTGGCTATGAGCTACTGGGACAAGAAATTTCTAATCATTTTGTTGTTAACCACCTGTGACTTTGTTCTTCCAGAGGAATCCTGAAATGCAACTGGATTCATGGGTCTCTAGGAGGCAACGATTAAGTAACTGCTACAACTGTCAATTATTTCCCAAACAGCTATAGAACCTTCTGTCATTGCTGAGAAAGGCTTATCTTCCATATCATTCCACTTGCTCTTTAAATAGTAGCAGCAAGGCAACAGTCTCTCCACAGGAAGTTTCCTCAGTGCCTGGAGCAAGGACTCTGACAGAGTTGTTCAAGTAAGGAGAGATGAATTAGTACCAATCCACCCTTATAAACTGGACTTCTCTCTGCCAGATATTGCTTGATTGTCTCAAACTTGAAGGGCCAATGAGCAAGTACTACAGTTCCAGTATGTAAAGTGGCATTGTAGGATTACAAACTAAAAGACTCTCTTCTCTGATGTATCAATGTTCTGGCATGGTGGACCAGACATGAAGAAACTCAAGCGTCTGCTTTGGCCAACATAATGTACTTACAAAATTTTCAAACCTACCCCAGTTAAGTCAGCAAATTTCCCATCACTCTTCAGGACAGAGTAATAGCTTTCCCTGAAAGACTGGATTGAATTTCTCAACAGGAAAGAAGAGAAGAGAGAAAAGGTAAGGAAAGGGAAAAGAAAATAGGAGGAAGAGAGGAAGGAAGGAAGAAAACACAAGAAATTAGGGCTCCCAGTATTCCAATGACTACCAGGATATACGGATCTATTTACTCTTCTCTGCAATGACAAAACTAGTTCCCCACTTAGATTTGGTCTGGTGGCGTAGTGCCTAAGGCATTCGACCAGCCACTCCTCAGAAGGAAGACTGGCAGTCTACTTCAGATACCGCCTTGGAAACCCAAGAGGTATCGCTATGAGTCAGAACCAACTGGGGGCAGTGAGTTTGATTTTTAATGGAAAATAACTGTTCACACATAACTACATGAGATAAAGACATTTTTTCAGTCTTTTCCCTAAGTATACTGTAGATTCTCACAATAGTTTTAGTCATGATGTTACATGTAATCACACAGTAATGGTATTTGATAGCAGTATTTTAAAACAGTCCATTGGAGCCACAAGTTCCTAGGTGGACAGGGAATTTATTTGAAGTCATAAACTATTTGAAAATATTCCTTAGGGTTGTTTCTCCCAATAGCCCATAGGCTTAAGATAGGTACTTTGTTGCTTTAGAGTTAGAATGTAGGGCAAAACAAAAGTCATGATATTATACTTTTCTATATATCTTTTCTAATATTTTCAAAGATTTTGTCAGATCTTTATTTTCTATTCTTTATTTACTTCCAGTACTGCCAAGTTCTTCTCTATTTTTAGAAGAATTATAGACCAACTCTTCTAAAATAGTTTATTTTTTTAGATTTTGTCTTTTATAAAGCATTCTATTCAGAATTTTACTCCCACTATCTTAGTTTATCAATGTGAGAATCCATGTCTTGATCTTTTTAAATTTCCATTTAAAATACATCCCAATTTAAAAATGTGTTTTTATGTAGTATTTTCATCTCCATAGCATCTTTTAAGTCAGCTTCTATGAATAGTTTTATTAATTTCTGTAGGTTCTAATTCTTTTAGTAAAGGTACTAGGATGAATACCTCAATAACTGACAAATGTCTTGTTGTAGGAATCAGTATTTTATTCTGTTTTCAGCAAATTCTTAAAATTTGCTAGCACCCTACAAACTTAATGTCATTGAAAGAGTTTCCTCCTTTTATGATGGGTGGAAAATATATGGGATGTAGCTACAAGATACATAAGTAGTCCAATTTCTTTTATGCATCTATTACTATATGGTGATCTGAATATGAATTTTCCCCAAAATCAGTGGATAGAAGCAAGTATATATTTAAATAATGTTCTGTTATCTTGAAATATGGACATTAGTTTTGTTTCCAAACTCTATATAGAATTAGAGTTTAAAAAGTTATTTACATGTGAAATATTACTTTTTAATTATTTAAGTTTGAACTAGTTTATGTTCCAAATTCAGTCAAAACATTGGCAGACAAAATATGCTATTTTATTTTTATTAGCCTTTTTGGTTAATATGCTACAATTGAGAGTAAGGGAAAAACCGTACACTAAACTGAAACTGGCTGACAGTTACGTGTGAGGTCATTTATGATGAGCAAACAATGGATTAGGTAACAGTGAGGAAAATTCTGGAAGTTTGAGTTTGTGCTTACTAGCAACCACTTTCAACATTTCTGCAAAGCTAGAGAAGGTATCTTCTAATTTAAATTTCTTTAAGAATTATCTAATGTGTAATATGCTGTCAACAGGAGGTCAGTTTTAAAGGATTATTACTGATAGCCTGAAAGACTGGAAAAGAAGCCTTTTCCTCCCTTACACACTGATAGTTCTTGTATTTGTATTTCTGCAATTCCTATATATATTTAAATATATAAACATTGGATTAGCAGCAAGAGAGTTGAAAATGGCAGAAGTTGGGAATGACTGCTATTTCTTTTTTAATTCCACATGCATGAAGGTAAATATTGTACAATTTACAGTACTTCACATGCTTAAAGTTTTTGGTAGAATGAAGAGAGAAAAGCAGTAATCTGCACTGTTGAATTGAAATGAGTGAATTCCCCTTAAAATATTTTATGTACTTAAAGTCTGGAGTAAAAGCGTTTCATGTGTTTTTGATATATTGAATATCTCTAAGGAAAATTTGGATGATAGAAACTTGTGATTCGTCTGAAACTGCCCTTACCTGTGCTAGTTCGATGCCGATAGCTTTTTAATTGATATGTGGCACTTTTGCCTATATTATAATTCTTTGAGACATAAAATCCCTAATACTGAAACATTATAATACACATCATACTTTTTTGGTTAATGTGATTCCCACCATATAAATTCAAATAGTTGACTTCAAGTCACTATCAAATTTAGGTTAATCTAATTGATCCTCTATTTGAAATTCATTAGCCTAATTACTGAATTTTTCCCTGTCAAAAGTCTTTCTAAGAAACTCCAATTATTTAAATGTCATGGAAAAAGGAAAAGAAGTCATATAAACAAATTGGTCTAATTACAGATATTAATTAAAATTTATAAAGTTCAATAGGAAAAAATATGTTAAAGTAATCCAAGGGGTTGGGATTAATGAAACCACATACATATAGAAACTGTTTGATTGGACCTTCCTACTTATGGTGGAGTGAACTCAATATGTCTTATTTAAAATGTTTCATCTTTGCTGGGAAAGCTGAATGAAGTCAATCTCTTGACCACAGGAAATTGATCCACTTCTATTACCTGTTACTTTAAGACTGAACCCTAATAGTGGCTGGTGGGTTTGAACTGCCAGCCTTCTGGTTAGCAGTAAAATACCTTAGGCACTATACCACCAGAGCTCCCTAAACCCTGATATAAATAATAATGGAAGTTATATTCTATGTGGGCAGAGAGTTTAGTCTGTTTCACACTACTGTCTCCCCAAGTACTTAGCACAGTGACTAACATGAGTAATAGGTTCTCAATAAATGAGTGAATGACTAAAGAATAATAATAGAAATTACAATATCTTATCTCACATAATTCACACAACAATCTAGTAAGGAGGGTATTTTATTCCTTCTTTAACATCCTTCTTACAGGAGGAAACAGTCACAGGTTGAGTAATGTGTTAACTTTGTAACTACAGGCAAGTAATGGAGCCAGAGACT